GCCCAGATAAATTGTCCATATAAATAACCACTTGGCTCAGCATTTACCTATGAGACACAAGACTAGTGTCGTGGGTGCGATTACATCATCTTCTTACTATAGAAACGCTGGTGCTCTGGATTTCAGCCGGAAAGACCACGACGAGATATGTTTGCTTATGCTAAACAGTCGGCTCCACTATGGTCTCGAGAATACGGCTATCTCCTCATAGACTTGCCCTTACATGTAGTCAACGATGAGCATTATGGACGACTCAATTCTATTCTTAGCCGGAGAACACGCAATAAGTTGGAATCCATCAGAAAGCAAAATGTACGTTATGCGAGAATTATCGCCTAGAGCTACCTTGAACATTACTCGCGCAAAGAATGGAACGCTGCAAGATATAGCGGAGGCTTCGGCTCATTTCCTTGGCAATTTGGGCATGAAAGACGTTTGGATAACTAATGATATGTTGAGATAGCACTGTAGGCTCTCAGAATAATTTATCCCCTGTGGTTGTGTATTAAACTACAATCACTCACTTGAATGTCCGTTATCTTGGTACAACAGGCCTGCTACAAGGTGCCTTGAATGGCGCGCTGAATACGCTCCAGCACTTTATTGCCAGCTCGTTTCTGGGCGAAATTTGGACCAGTCTAGAATCGCGGGAGTGTATGGCTTACTGAATAAGGGATGGGTCTGGTCCCATAAAGACGCAGGTCATTGCTCGAGGCCCGATTTTCCGGTTACTAGATGGAAGGAGGCAATAAGAGCCTGTGAGGGTGATATGCTTTGTGTGTTACTTTTTCCAGTTACAGGGATTGATGTTTGTACATGAGATGTCAAAGGTATGTGGAGTTTTAATCTGTATTTCGGTTGAGCGAGCACTATTCCTCGACGACTCATATCGAATAAACAGCCACCAAGGCCGAAGACTTATCTATTTGTCTTTTACAAGTATTGGGGTCTAATGTTCGTTCAAGGGCCTGGGTTGAGTCACGAAAGAGAGTTATATACAGAGTCTTTGACAAAATGGCGGCCGTAGGAGATGGTCTTGGCTTACTTGTGGTAGAAACTTCGGAGAGGGATTTCACAGCTGCACAACCCTGTAAAATCATTCACTACCCCAAATACGAGCCGCAGAGCAGTCAGTTGTTCGTCTTGAAACAACAAACGCCTTTTGCCATTTTGACTTTTCCTGAATCATCTCTTCGCTAAAATCTATTTTATATGGTATGTGGTATGGGAGTATACACTTGCGCTAGAACAGCTAAGATGGTTCATTTGGAGATATTTTGATATGTAGAAACAGGATTATTTTAACTATATTTTGCTTATAGACTGGGAGAAGCTCGTCTCTTATACTCTGGCTAGTTCGCTTGTAGGCCTATCGTGTAACTGGTATGCAGCGCGCGAAAGTATGCTGCCAACTGAACAACTACGCCATTCATTCTTCCCAAACGATCCATTTCACCTACTGCGCACAAAACTACTTGTAGTACCGTTGTGTAGAGAATAATTTACTCAATGCTCCGCGATGCCACAATAATTACCAACGCAACAGCTACTAGTTCTCTCATAGCTATCGCAGCCGCGCATAAAAAATTCGTCTCGGAATCTACCAAAGCAATCCAAAAGTCATCATCATAATCTAAGATTTATTAGTACATCCGACTCACCAAAGACGCCCATCATGAATCACTGGGTGCGCCACCATCGCGCCCAGGACGAAACGCAAAGATTCTTGCAGGTTCCTAACGGATTCAGTCCCCCATGATGAACCAGTAATGGGAATTCCACCATTAAATTAGGGAAATCCCCAATTAAAATGAAAAAGAAAGGTTGGATTCGAATAGTCTGTCCTATATTGTTGTAAACTCAAATAGGGCAAAAATGAAAAAAAAACAACGAATTCAGTACATTCCACCATACCAATGAGGCGCAAATTTGGTAAAGCGTCGGATCTGGTTGCTTGTTGGATCTCCGTTAGGTATATCTCCTTGACAACGCTCATCGGTAGACTTCAAAGCACAAAAAGATGTTCATCCAAGGAATCATAAGGGTCATCAAACCTGTGCCCAAAAACTTCGGCCACACGGCAAATGCTCTCTTGAGAGTGCAGCTTACACTATAAAAACAAGCCGACGATGGAAGGTGTCGTGGCCCGCCTCCTGGTAGTGTTCTCCGGTATGGTTTGAGTAGCCTGGGCACCTACTCCACTTGGGAAGGAGACATCTCAGATTACATTTCGCGCGGAGAAAAGTTGATGGATGACGGAGGCATGTCTGGATAACTCAGGGTTTTTGAGAGGTTCCCCTGGGTGGGTATTCACGGATGAGGGTTGACTTGGGGTGAAGAAAAAGCCGCCATAACTTCGCAGTGGTACTTGCAAATGAAATCCGAGGCATGAGTGCTCTTCCTGTACGTTGAATCATCTATTCTGTACTTTTCTTTGATATTGTTTCATAGCTAGATAGCTGCATACGCAATTAAAATCTGATGCAAAAAAAAAAAGGCAAATGCTCTCTGAAAGCTTCTTATAAATCGTGGCTTGCACAAGTTGAAGAACTGCTGTGCACTGGCATCGACTCTGTCTATTTGAAGACTTAGGCGTCGCTGTATAATATCAGCAACAGTAAATTTTGCAGCACTGTAAGCGCTGTCTTGAGTTTCACGGCACACGCGGCTACTCTTGGCACCAGCTCATTGAAACTGTAACCCATGAATATGCTCTACCATGGAGTGCAGCTCCCACACAGAGGACCACAGCTATTGGAGGGCGCATCGCACCAGCAGCCTAATGTGCGTAGCTCGGGCTAACCCAGTAACAAGGGAGCAGCTTGAAACCATTCGATAACCCAGTCAACACAAATCAACCGTGAGACGTGTAGTGATAGTTGCTGCTGCTATCATAGACCAGACCAAAATTCACCCCGTCTATCGTTTAAGCCTCTAGCACATATAAAATTCTCATTAACCACTCCAATGTCAGGGACCCTGTTTAGATCAGTATTATTCCCCTTCAAATACTAATCCTATGTGAAAGGATGGCACCAGGGTGAACAGCTGTCCGCACGAGTGTATCCAAAATGGGTTTATTTTGTGTCAAAAGAGAAAAACTGAGTTGTTGTGGGATCACTAGATATATGTTATCTCGCTTATCGCTGACGTAATCAACTCCTAGGAGCCGGATAAACTCCGGATCCCATCTACATAGCAATAGCCTGTAACATCCTAGCGCACAACATACGCTCCAGTCGGTTAAGCTTCTTTTTTAATCTACAGATGTATTCAGCCATCTAGTTGTGCTAAATTTTCAGTGCTATGTTAACTTGTTGGGTGATTTTTCTGACCCCAGAGAAACTCCTGGTGTAGATTTCATTTGCAGATACTATTACGAGGTAGGTTTGTTTGTACAGAACATTAGATCCTCTTCCATAGCTACCCAATATAGGGAAATTCAAAAACTTTTATTTATCAAAGCATAGGAGTATCGCGAGAAAAATGGTCGGGCATTGCTTGACTAGATGCAGCCATTTTCTGTCCCAAGTGGGGAAGTTATCCAAGCTATCTAGACTCTACTTGAAACAATGACTTCGAAGACATGGCTAGCTTATAGTGTCAGCTACACTCTCGCAATCGAAGTCGTGGCGCGCGCAATACTCTTCAATACGTAAATCTCCTTGCCAAAATTCGAAATCTCACGCCCGTCGAGATTATATCCTTCCTCTACATCATTTTATAAACTTGTTCTCATTTGTGTCATGCCTATCCCAAAGAACGGTATCCCATACTTGTGCGCCACGCTTTATGTCGGAATATGGAGAGAACTTCGGAGTAAGAATTGCCTGAGAACGGAGAGGAAGTTCAGTTTGCTTAATTGAGTAATGGAATACAGATATTATGATATATACAGTGGAATTACAAGGAAGAAGAGTTATCCGGAACCGACGCGACTGCAGAAATAAGTGAGATCTCAGACCAGAGTAGAATTATTCACTGACTAGGAATACTGGGTCATGCAGTAGAAAATACGAACAAACCAATGATTGAATTTTTTCGGGAAGGATGGGATTCAAGCAGACTCAAACGTTGTGTCCGATTGGATCAGAAGTATGGGCTCCTGCCTGAACTCAGAAATTTAGTTCAGGCAAGATGCATGCAACCACATTGGTCGATAGAAAGAAATACAGGAATTACTAAGGAAACAATTGAACCCTCAGTCATTGAGGTCGTAGAGCGCACTGATTCAAGTAACTACCGAAGTGAAACTAAGTACAGAATTTGCAGTCACGTGCGTACCAACAACGTGGCCTACTTATTGCCCCAATTATTCTTGATTCTAACAAGAAGCAGTATTTCCATCACTTTGCTTCCTCCTGCAGATATAAATATCGGCCTAGGCGTGTATTTGGTGACCAGCTGAGGCCAGAGAAAGTCGACGAGAGGTGTGGTCATTGGGATGAGGATGTACTTGGTCGTACTTATAATCTTGATGAGACTTAGGTTGGAGTCAAACCTTTTGAGAGCAAAAATTTTACGAGGTGGGGTAATTTGAATCGTTGCCACGTAGGCCAACTTCTTTGATACTGCGAAACTTGACTTAGCTTGACTCTGGTCGTGGATTATTGCTTCGTGGGCTAACTTGTTTTGTCTTGCGGAGCTTTACCGATTAAGGCTCTAGGTGGATAAATTGCAATCAGTTCTTGTCGTCTTGATCGGCAGCCTTTAAATTCAGAGGCTCTGCATATATTTATTTCGGGATCTCAATTCTTCGGGAGTAACAGTTTCTCAAAAATACAAGTGACCTTATCCAAATACCTTACTCACATGGAAGGCTGTATTTAATAACCCCTCACTGGCTTCATTTCAAAAATGTCTACTCTTGCGCTAGGATAGGCTGCATAATCGATAGAACCCCTCAAGCTCAATGTTCAATATCTGATTCTATAAAGCCTGCATCGCTCAACGTCATACATTTTGCCAGCAGAGAATCCCTTGCTTCGCTACTTTCAGGGATGAGACACTTATTTGGACTTACAAGTAGGCCGAGCCAAGCTCCCATTACAAAATATTACCTTTGCTTGAGCATTAGAAAACAAGAATGGCGCCGCTCATTCACCAATGTCACGAAGCTGTCATTTTCTTTGAAACTCCCTTGTCTAGAAAAGGCTTCAATCCAGAATACTATCAGAAGTTTATCCAAACATGTGGCTTATATAGCATTAGGAAGTAATCTAGGAGATCGAGTCGAATGGATTGAAAAGGCGTGTATTGAAATGTCGAACCGAGGAATAGACGTGAAGAGAACCAGCTCTTTATGGGAAACAAAACCGATGTACATTACTGATCAGGCCAACTTTTTGAATGGTGTTTGCGAGGTAGGCTTTTTATTGCTACTTATTTATCATCTCTGACAGCCTCAGAGGTAGAAACTACCCTACAGCCAATCGAGCTTCTAGATCAACTTCAAACGATCGAAAAAGAACTAGGTCGTAAAAAGATCATTGATAAAGGGCCTCGAAATATAGATCTAGATATCCTACTATATGCTGATGATGTGATCGACCATTGCCGCCTTAAAGTCCCTCACCTTGGAATATATGAGCGAGAATTTGTCCTTAGACCCCTATCAGAGTAATAGAACTTATCTAAGAGAAGATTACAAGAATTCTAACGACAACTAGGCTGATCTCACAAAGAATTCTGGCTAATTCTCGTGGAAAAACTGTCAAGGACTACCTCGAAGCTCTTCCTACTTCAGAAATGTCGACTATCACACCCCTAGCTCTAGGCCAAGAGCTTATCCACAGTATGAGATCCGATCGTCAAACCCAAATGATGGCCATTGTGAATCTCACTCCCGATTCATTCTCAGGTGATAAACAAGGAAACGATTTGATCAAAAGGAAAGAATTTCTCGCCGATACCATCTCCTGTGGTGCCTGTATCATGGATTTTGGCGGACAGAGCAGCAAACCATTTGCAGCCAATGTTTCATGCGATGAAGAAATAACGAGAGTTATTCCAGCAATCACATGGGCTCATAATGAGCGTCATAAGCACAAGTCCCGTCCTTTTGCCATAAGTGTGGATACTTATCGCGCTGATGTAGCTGAAGCTGCCGTTAAAGCTGGTGCAGATATAATAAACGATGTCTCTGGTGGGACTTTGGACGCACGAATGCTTCCGACTGTAGCACGACTAGGAAAAACGGTTTGCCTCACGCATATGCGCGGAACGCCAAGCTCTATGAACAGGCTCACGAATTATCCAGCAGGACTCATTCCAACCATAGCTTCTGAACTTCTTGAGCGAATCTCGGCAGCAGAAGCCGCTGGCGTTCGACGCTGGCGTATTATTCTTGATCCCGGAATCGGCTTTGCCAAAACAGTCGAACAAAATCTCGATATCCTTCGCGGGCTAAATGAGCTAAGGAACTGGCCAGGGCTTAGAGGGTTTCCTTGGCTGGTGGGAACGAGTCGGAAAGGCTTTATCGGGAAGATTACAGGCGTCGAAGTGCCTCGTGAACGTACATGGGGTACAGCGGCTACAGTTGCAGCCGCCATAGCTGGAGGTGCTGATATTGTTAGAGTACATGATGTGAAGGAGATGATGCCAGTTGTTCGTATGTCAAATGCCATTTGGCGGACTTAATTCCCAATACCCAATGCTTTTCGGAAAGATCTTGGAAAAGCAACACTCCATATGAACATCTCCATCTTGAACTTCACACGCTGTATTCTTGTCGCTGGAAATTCTCTAACGCCAGAGACTTCCTAAATTTACCTTGAAAACGGAACACTGATGATATTCCTCTTACAGTCTAAGAAGTTTAAATATCTCTCTTTTTCCGGGCCTAATTATTATTCAATAGCTACCAGCTCTACTGATGATGCTTGATTTGATATTTAAAACATCAATGGCTTGGCTATTTTTGACACATTAGCTAGTATTAAAACTTATGACTTGATGTGGGTATTTTATTTCAGATAGCGTGACAAAGTAATCCTATTTGCGAAGCCACATTAGGAATGCACTGAAAGAAACTAAAAAGTCCATTTATCTTGCTCTAGACATTTCGAAGCATTCAAGATTACTCCGCTGTCTCAACTTTCGGGGTGGAATAACAATGTTATATACATGTCTAGCTGCGATAAAACGCCTTTATCCTGGAGCTTTTAGTTATCATCTATTAAGTTGATTCCCTGATTATGTGAAATCCATCCAGGAGATAAATAAGGCATCTTTGATCACTTCAGGAGCTAACCTGATCAAATTTGACGCATGGGAATTCCACATCCACACAGCAGATCAAAAGTTACTGATTGGTTCTATCACACTCTTGCAGGCGCAAACAAATAGACTCTCATTGATTGATATTTTATATGCTACTTGAGTCAATGACTATCTAGTATGCTGAGCTCCTCTTTACCACAGGCCACTGTTACGTCTTGTAATTACAAGGAGGGGTTTCCTGGTATCATGTAATGTACCGTGGTGCCACGGTGTCAAGTTTGCAGCAGGGCTTTGACAGGGGTTCTAACGTGTAAACTAAGATGCCTTAGGCAAAGTCACCTTCCATATTGGAATTAGCCCCCGTATTTGTGCAAATTTTTGAAAAATTTTGTATGGCAATTTTTATCTGGACACCATAGTTTACAATGGATCTTTCCTTCGCACTAAACCTAATTTGTATAATGATCGGCTGCATAACATTTGTGCATTTTTGCTACTTGACTTTATAACTTATTTACAAGAGTTCGAAGGTTTTCAAATTACAAAATAGAGCCAGTCTTATCCTAACCTTAGATCTGAACGTGTGGCTGGAAAATTTTCAGACCTTAATATCTGGTTGTTCCCCCATCCGCATCTACCACAGCCTGACATCTTGCTGGCATACTCTGAATGAGTCTCACAAGATCTTCGGAAGACAAGGAATCCCATGCCTCCTTTACTATGTTGCGAAGACTATCTTGAGGTCGCTGCTTTCAGCAACACAGATTCGGATGATGACGCTGGATGTAATCCTTCATCTTATTCCAAACAGCTTCAATCGGGTTAAGATCAGGCGAGTTGGCCGGCCAGAAAATCGGTGAAATGAGCCTCTGGCCCATATCTTCCATTGTAATTGCGGCTGTGTGGGCAGGAGCATTATCCTGCATTACGGAAAGCCAAGGTCTCATCGAGACCATGCCATCGATAAGAGGAACTATCTTCTCGCATTATTTTTGGGAGTTAATGGAACCCCATTCCTTCTCCCAAACAAACAAGGGCCTTTTTCTGGCCCTGCGAAGCAACCCCAGAACATCCATCCGACCCAATTCTTCGATTTTTCTCCAACACAATCAGCGTTGTATTCTTGGGGAGTCTAGCTCATAATGTTAGAGCATCAAATTACCATCTTCCTATTGAGGAATGTATGAACACTTCTTGTCACCCATTCTCTAGAATGTCTTCCATCCTCTACCCAAGTTTCGTCTGTCCATAAAACTGACGTCCAGTCTTCATATGTCCAATTGAGATGAGCTTCGGCCCATTCTCTGTATGTCTTCATGGTTTTCTGAGATACTGGAGGCTTTAGACGAGCCACACGTCGCTGATATACTTTTTTTAAGTTCTCTTTCTGTTAACCGCTCGTTAACACCAAGATGTCTAAAGGGGCCAGAGGCGAGTTCCAGAAATGTTTTGCGGCGGTTTCCAGGTGAAGACTCAACGTAAGATATAATCTGATCAACATCATCTGCTTTCAGCCTTGAGGATGTTCTTTTTCTCTTTTTGGGGAGACAGTTCCGCGGCGCAGTGAATAACTAACTTGTCCCCGAGAAATGCCTAGTTGCGCGGCAATCTGCGTCTGGTTTTTGCCAGATTCATGAAGCCCATAAATCTTAATTTTTCTTTTTATTTATATTTGTTCATATCTAATTTTTCTACTTACTAAAATGTTTTGATCTCTGGATAATTGTTTGATTCGAGGTGTTGAAGGTGGGGTTTGAGGTGAATTCATCTGTAAAATAAGGATATTATCGAGTAAAGCCATGTGTCTTCTTAATATTATTATTTGTATTTGAGAAATCTAATTCTTTTTGTAACTCAAGCACAAGGTGAGAAGAGCTGTGTAATTTTTTTAGCGGTCGGCGCTCATAAAAGTAATGGGAAAGAACTAGAGAGCGGGTTGGATTTGCATAAAACTGAGGGTAACATGAAATCAACTGTGCTCTGGGTTTAGGCCTGTAAATACAGGACAAGAATTATGTACCCTGTCGAAATTGGAGTTAACAGGGGTGTAACCCCTGTAGCGAATATGCGCCCCATATAAATCCACTGAAAACTTGAAATCGTGGCACCACGGTAGAGTCTGGTTGAGCAGGCATCGGTCCCGGAAGCGAGCTGGTGGAGTTTTCAGCCCAGCAGGGCTACAGACCTCTCCCTCGTCTTACCTTTCTTTCGAGTCATCGTACTAAGCTTTAGATCCAAATACTAAGCGATTATCCTCTAATTTTTCAAAGAAGTCTTCAAGCATCAGCCTGTACGATGTTCACATCTTCTTTTATTATGGAAAAACAATCACTGATATACGACACACGATGATTAAGTACGCTTCTCTCGCAGCTGACGCTTATTTGGAAGGAGCCTGGATTATACTTCGTTTAGATTAGGTCCCAGCCAAGGAGCTCTAATATATTTGAGTTGTTTTGCAGGCAACAATTCTAATAATTCATGAGACCACGATTAAGACTGTGATTAGTTCCAGTCTGGTCTCTCGATTGATCTCTGGACGTTTCGCATACTAAGCAGGCATGTGACTCAAGTTTCAAAGTGCATGGTAAATCTCAGTTCCAAAAAACGATGCAAGTCAAGGTTTGCGTGCTAGATACTGTATGGTCAAGGGGTATTGGAGATGAGCAATTCATCTATAGATGGATAAGGTCGTAAGAGTCCTCAAATTGTTGGAACAAGTCTTCCCATGGATAACATCTGAATCAATCTAGCCTATTGCTAAGCTGCCTCATGAGTCATTCTCGTTGTCTGTCGATACAGATCCGTACGCCAAATCGATAAATCAAACGATCAACGAACTGTTGGTACGATTTTCAATGAAGATTAACGTCGAACACATGGGCACTATTCCTAACACCTGTCAGTGGTGTCTCCAACGAATCTCCAGCTCTCACCGCAGAGTCTGCAGAGCCGAGATTGAGTAAAAAAGCCCTCACCTCAATGAGGATTCCCAATCGCCTTCGCCATCTGTATTGTCTTCATGATAGTAGTAATAGAGGGTTAGTTGTGGGATGAAGCTAAACACGATCCAATTAGATCGTAGGGTCGAAGCCCTTCTCGTCACCAACCCTTTATCATGGAGGAAAAGCCATCCGATGAGTTTCCGGAGCGTACCCAGCACCCGATACGGAGATGGTGGATTGGATCAAATCGGCCTCGAATGTCACAAAGAATGGAGATACAGATTGGACATGCGAACCTCATTTGGTCCCGGTGTCTAGGCCTCGTCTGGCTGGGGCTGCAGGTTTAATGAGACTTTTTCCCGCGCACGTAGTTTCCATTGCTACCTTTTTTTTGGGTAGAAGCTTCAGCGGAAAAGTTGGCCAAATTCCACGGGTAACTTCGAAAATGAATGGCTATTCATCACGTGCAATATATCCATACATTGTTCTAGTTTAACTTCCTATATGGCTTCTATATACAGATCCATGAAAACGGTAAGCCACTTTGGTGTGGGAAAAAGCTTTCAACAAACAAAATCCGAAGTCCTGCCACTCTGAACCGACCCGGCTTAATGCTGAGGACGCTCCTTTCAAACTATAATTTTATAAACTTTCCCCAGAATTCGTTAACTCCCCCTTCAATCAGACTAACGGTATGAAAAATTAAAGAGAGAAGGCACCTCCTCACTCGGCGTTGGTATTCGAAGTGTTTGAAGAGTTAGCCCCGATAGTGGTGCTACTGTTGAGACGATGGTTGGTACCGCTGGGGCTTCGACTACCTTGCGTTGTCGTCCCGGTCCTCTTTTGAGTCGTTCAGCCTTCTTACTGGTGACCAAAGTGAATCCCTGATCATCAGTCGTTCGGACTGTTCGTATTGGCGCCATGATAGGTTTTTCGTTCCATATATCTGCCGTTCTCGATAACAGCTCCATCCGAGCCTTCTCCACACTTCCCTTGTAGACCTGGTAGGTCCGAAACGCTGCTTTCTGCCACGAACGGTGCACCTTGCCGTAGTTCGCACAAGAAACCCTTTTCCTAGGACAGTCCCGAGTTTGGTGAGCACCTGCGCACTCACCGCGCCTGGCTACCTTTCCACACGACGCTTGTGTGTTTTGTTTTGTTTATTTTGTCCTAAGCTAAAGCTATGTTTTCCACATTGGGTCAGGGGCCGGCGGAGCCGTCAGGGTTCCCTGTAATCTTTCCTACAGCCTAACTTGTTCCAACCTCGTGAACCGCTACCAATAGTGCAGCTGATTAAACTGAAACGAAAATCAAGAAAATCAAAACAACTCCGAAAAACTAGAGGATTCCTCCATAATAGACCCAGTCAATGTGCTCCTTACACATTCCGTCGTCCGTCACACCTTCCAAATGACAAAATTTATTCAATCTCCGCTGAGAGCAAGAGATGAGCTAACAGGCATCTTTGATCCA